CAGGAGTACTTGTGGCACTTTAGAGACTAACAAATTTATTAGAGTATAAGCTTTCGTGGACTACAGCCCACTTCTTCGGATGCATATAGAATTCTAATAAATTTGTTAGTCTCTAAGGTGCCACAAGTACTCCTGTTCTTTTTGCAGATACAGACTAACACGGCTGCTACTCTGAAACCGATTTTATAGGGACAGTCCCGATTTTTGGGGCTTTTTCTTATATAGGCTCCTAGTACCCCCACCCCCACCCCCGTCCTGATTTTTCACACTTGCTGTCTGGTCACCCTAGGGGGGCTGGGCGGTGGCTGATGCGCCGTCTCAGATGTAATGTAAAATGGACCCTTGAAGTCATTGAAGTCTCAATGGCTCTTTTCGCATGAGCAGGGATTGTAACAGTACCTAGATACGATGATGATAGAAAAGCTGATGATGGATAAATGTGGCCTGGTCAAATTCCAGTATTCTGCCTAAATACCGTTTCAGTCGGGATGCACGTCATTCCTGTGCGAAATGGCTGGGCTGTGGTGCTGTGCACGGCTGAACAGCTTCCACCTTTCAACCCAGAGGTGGCTGCACTTCACTGATGGGTCTGTCTAGCAGTGTTTTTCCTGTATGCACATGCTATACAAAGCTTTAGAAACTCCTCTGTGCTCCTAGCAGCTCTAGTTTTAAATGTAACTATCTTGCTGGGTCTAGTATATTTGGATGGCAATAAATCACAATCTTTATTTTCCTCCCCTGCCTTGGCGTCCTCTGTCTGTAATATCTTTAGCTGCTGTCGTCTGGGGTTGTTATTTATGCTGCTTCCCGTGGCTGCAAATCGGCCGTATCTACGCAAACTGCCACCAGCGTGCACAGCAAAGCCAGGAGCTGCGCTGTATCTGGAATCCTTTCCCTTTTTTTCAGCACAATAATCTTTAAAGGTTTTAACAACCTGGGATTTCTTTATTTTAGTGACTTGGCCTTCAAGTTGCTTGACATTTTCATGAGGAAACGTAGCTGTTTGCCTTACAGGTTCTCCGTAAAGGACAACAAAATTCCTTTTTTTGGTTGCTTTATAATGAAGAGAGAAGCCCTGAAAGATTTTTTCCCCTCTTCTGGAAAAGGGATATGGGCTTTTTTTGGAGGGGGAGCAGGGGTTAGTTGCTTTCATATTCAAATATCTGGTTTTTCTCTTGCTCTGTCTTTGCTGGAGGGCTCTATGGAAGACCGGACAACTACTGGGGTTATAGGATGAGGAGGAGAGAGGCGACTCAAAGCTGAGCTCTTGGGAAGGGAATTTTAAATCAGAAAATTTTAAATTCTTTGTTTAACTCAAACACATGTGCTCAAAAGATCTTCTCCGGAAAGCCTGGGACACACTGATGAAGGGCAAGGAAATCTCGTCCTCCAGGTCTCCGGCCCAGCAAGGAGGCCTCCAAGAAAAGCAGGGGAGTTACCCAAGGTGAAAATCCCTTGACTTCCCTTCCCAGGTCACCCTGAATGTTGTCTGGCCAGTTGGATAACAGTGCTTTTCATTTCTCGAGTGCCCTCCACCCAAGTGTTTTTATTACAGACGTCAATGGATGATGCTTCAGGGAGCCTGTGTGATGTAACAACCATCATTGTCCCAGAGATGGGGAAACTGAGGCACAGATAAGTGAAGGAACTTCCCCAAAGTTATGACCTGATCTACGGTGAAGCAGGAACTGGCACTTTAACCCCAAGGCTGCTGCTCCCCGTTACGCTCACAATAATGCCCAATGCTGTGCTGCTTGGGAAGATGGTCTAATGGCTGAGACTTTGGACTGGACATCAAGATAGCTAGGTTCAATTCCCAGCACTACTATATGTTTCCTGTGTAACCTTGGGCAAGTCATTCAATTTCTATAAGCCTCATCTGTAAAATAGGAACAATCATCTTTTCTTTTCCATCCTTTGTCTTGTCTAGTTAGAGAGGGTAAATTCTGCAAGGCCGGCGCTGTCTGTGTGTCTTCACGATGCCGAGCACATAGGGACCTGAGCTTGGATAGGGCCTGTGGGCCCTACTGAAAACTGAACCACTATCACGAGGCTGCCATGTGGTGGGGGCTCCTCCCCCTGGAGTCAAGAGGTTTCCCTTCCTTTCCCCAGCTCCTCTGTGTTGCAGCCATTGCCCTGACAGCCCACGGGGACTGGATTGGCTTGAGAAACTGCTGAGCAATGTGGCTCTGGGGCAGCCCCTCAGAGCTGGTTTGGTTGTGCACGCAGCTGTTTCTCATGTGCGGACGCACACACACCCTCTATCTGGCAACGTGTTTTTTGTGCAACCCAGTGTTTGTGTTGTCAGGTAGGTCCCAAACTTGTCGTACCTGTTTTGCTCTCAGCCTGGGCTGCTCACATACACTCCCTTCTTATCCCTGTCCCTGTCTCCCTGCTCCACTTTTATTGGTGACTGTGAGAATGCCACACACGGAGCGGGGGCTCGAAAGCCTGAGGTGGAGGGAAGCTGCCCGCTGGCTCATTCCCATGTGGTCGGGACAGGTTCAGGGAGAATTGTAACCTAGAGCTTCCAGGGCCCCATACCTTTAAGGAGGCTGAGACGAAGGACAAAAAGAAGCCAGATCAATGTTGGGGGGATGAAAACTAGTGGGTGCCAGGCTGCAAGCACCAGCATTGTTATCAGCAGGCTACTGTGCAAAGATTAATGTCAGTTATAAGGTGGGTGTCTCAAAGGGAATGATTAAGCAATGGTGCATGGTGAGGTGCCGTGCTTGCAAGGAAATCATCTAATCACAGAGATGCTTTGAGACACAGGATGCAGCTGATTGCCTCAGAATACCGAGGGCATGATAATTTCACGATAACCAGCGCTTCCTCAAATTGTCCTTCAGTTTTATGCCTGAAGGCAGCGCAGGGTTTTAGTGCATTAGAGTCACAGCAAGAGATTCTGTTTTAAGGGCTGCAGCGTATAATACCTAGGGACATGACAGCTAGAAACAGGGAGACTGACTGGAAGGAGCTAGAGAGAGACACACACATGGCCTGGCCTCTGATGCCTGCTTTTCAGGAGATCTAATCAGAAATATCATCAATCCCATGTGTAAATTTCTTTAAATACTGGTGCTTCCCCCACGTACCTGGTAGCTTCTTCCAGGTGTTTGTGACCCTCAGCTCCCTACCCCCAAACTCCTCTGGGTTTAATTTTGGTTTTATGCCACCTTCGGTCTCACTTGCAAAGCAGAACAAGGAAAATCACTTTCCCCTACTCTTTGGGTTGTCTGTGAACTGTTCCTGTTGATCCACTCTTCGCGATGTATGACCGGATCCCCTGAATGACCCAGAATAGTTTCTTCTCCCTGCCTGGATGACTGAAACTCCTCAAGCGGTAGAATAGCAGAGTGAATGACGGATAACACCTTTTCAGGTAGGAATTTCTGGACAAACCATCATCTGTGCTAAAATCCCTGCAAATGTGAGAATTTGCAAGCGTTTTCCTCAACTCCCAAGGGTTGTCCAAGTAAAGACAACTAAGATGATCCCACTGGCAGGAGTGACTCGGACTGGGAGCTCTGATTGAGGAACTGATACGATTCTCCCCCGCCCCCCTCCAGCTTTGTTCTCGACACATTTTGCCCCATTGATCATCAGCACGATATTGTCCCCAAATGTTGTCATGCCGTCCAATGTGCGCACAGAGAAGGCCTGCAAGCAGTGAGAAGCCTGTCCAGTCTAACCTACAAAGCACCACCAGACTAGAGGGCTTGTTGCCCTATCTCTAGTTCAGTGTCAGGGCTCTAAAGAGGGTCACTGCAGAGCTGCTACAGTAATCCCAGATGCAGACAATTGCATGGCAGCAAGTCCACCAGAAAGGAGCCCACTGGTTCCTTGGAGCTTGGTTTCCTGTCGTCTCGCTCCCCTGGGTTCTGGGCCAGAGCCGGCTCCGAAGGCATACAGCCCAGGATTCCCAAAACAAATCGCATCTCAGCTCTCACGGTAAATAGTTTGTATTCCCCTTCCAGGTGACACACACCAGCCAGCCAACAACTTCATGTCTTGGTGTCACTCAATAAGCTATAAAAGCAAAAGTCTCTCTCAGGCCCTACCGCTGCTCCATATGCAGATCAGATGAACTGTAGGGGGGGCTAGAGACTATGGAAGGGAAGCTAGTTAAATAGACTCTAACAACCATTCTGATGACCACTTAACAACAACCAGATAACAATCTTGTCCCCTTCTGCAACTCCTCTCACTTGAAGGCCTCATGGCACTTTATTCCACTAACGAGTTAATCCTTGTGATGCCCTGTGAAGTTGGTAAGAGAAGAGTAGTGTGTATGTGCCACCACTGCTCTCCATTGAATGGAATCAGAACTGTTCAAATGTGTGTCATATGTCCTATACTGCCAACAGCTAATGGAGATTCTCCGTTAGCTCCAGTGGATGGGGCCTGTGTTTCTGGAGCAGAAAGATCTGGGCTCAATCCCAATCACTATCGTGAGATTCTTTGGAAGGGCCAGAATGAAGTGCTAGCTGGATTATTATCCCCACTTTACAGCTGTGTGAACAGAGATGCAGAAAAGCCAAGGGATCTGGCCAAGGTTTCATGGAGGGTTGCTGGCAGAACTGTGAAGAGAAGCTCTCTCTCACTGTCCTTCCCTAAGTGCAAATGTCTTTTCAACTTTCCTCCTGCCGACTTTCTCCTGCTGTCCTTCGCTGGCAGCAATCCCTGGGTGTGGCATAGCCTGGTAGGGGGGTGGGGCTCCACCATGGACTTTCACTGCTTATCTCCAAACAGCCAGGCTTCTAGAAGTCACAGGGAGACTTTGATGCCAGCATATAATTAGAAACAACAGGTTTTTTTGGAGCAACCAAGATAACTTTGTTGTGAATGTTCTTGGGGCTTGTGTGTGTGTCTTAGCATGTTCAGGCTGCACCCACAACAATGCACAGAGAGCCAGCAGGCACAGCAATCAGGTAAACAGCAAAGCCAGCGATAGCAGATACATGGGTTAATGATTCCCAGAGGGCGGAAGACCTGAGCTGCTTGGGCGCTCTCTAAACCTGCCCTGTTGTTTGGGGGTTATCTCTCAGCTGCCGCAAGGTCCATGTTCAAGGTGGCAGCGCAGACACTCTGCGCCCTCCCCGGGCTCTGCATTAGCTGGGCACTTTCCCCGGCACATGACATTTGCACACGCCATGCCCTCAGCAGACAGAGCGGCCGAACTCCGAGCGCGGGCACCTAGAGGAAGGCTGGTGGCATGAGGCACAACCCATGCTATACCTGCGCAGGGCCGGATTAAACTTCTGTGGGCCCGTCCCCAAACATATTTGTGGGGGCAATGGAGCGTGGCATGAGAGGGTCGGTCCCCGGAGTGAGGGGCCAGCCAGGGGCATGGCATGGCAGGGGCGGCCCCACTCTGCCCAGCCCAGTGCAGTTGCCAGACGCACAATGGCCCGCCTGGCCCTGTGCTGCCAGCATGCCCCTTCCCTTGGGGGTGGGCCCATGCCACGCCCCACAGCCCCCATGCCCAACACTGGAACACCCCCTATGGCCAAAACCTCCCCAGACCCGCTATGCCCAGCGCCCCCCCAGACCCTGCCAAAAATGCACAGTGCCCAGCACAACACCGCAACTGCCCAGCGCCCCGCTGCCCACAGCCCCACCACAATTGCCCAGCTCCCCACACAAAACCTCCACTCCCTTGTTCCACAGCACATACAGGTCTTTCCCGCCCCTCACAGCCCAGCACCCCGCCGAACCCCCAGAGACCCCCTCCCCCACGCCCTACCTCCTGGCCGCACTCACTGGCCCTCTGGGAGGTGACTGTGTCTGCCGGGCTGAGCCGGCAGCATAGCCAGGGCTGGTCCTGGGGCGGGGAATCGCTCCGGCCCCTCAGGAGTGGCGCGATCAGCCAGGCCAGGGCCTGTCCGGGCCGGGCTCCCTCAGGACCCACTTGCCTGGAGCGGCCTAGCCCAGCCCCCCACACTGTGTCTGTTCCCCCCAACCGGCTGAGACTGGCCAGGCTTCTGGACCCGTCCCAGCCGGCTCAGCTCCGGGGAGACAGGTGGGACCCCACAGATGGGAAGCTGAGACTGCCTGGAGCTGGAGGGGCACTGGGGTCCGGCCAGGGGGCAGAGAGAAGCCAGCGGGCAGGTCCAGGGGGTGGAGAGGAGCCCTCGGCCAGCCGGCGGTCTGAGAGGAGCAAGTTATGGGCGGGGCTCCATGGTGCCACTGGCGCCATTGTAAACCCGGGATTGTACCTGCGCTGTAAGGAGACATTCCATCTGTCCATGGTACTTACGCAGCCCCCATTACCGTACTACCTGAGCACCTCACAATCTCTACCATAAATATCCTCACAACCCCCCTGTGAGGCAGGGCAGTGCTGTTTTCCCCACTACACAGATTGGGCATGGAGGCACCGAGTGGTTGACTTGTCACAGGTCACACAGGGAGTCTGTGGAAGTGCAGAGAATTGAACCTGTATCTCCCAAGGCCTAGGCAACCACCCTAACTACTGGGTCATTCTTCCTCTCTTGTGCAGTTTTTATTTGCTCGGACTCTGGGTTCTTGGTTTGACTGATTCTCTCTGTAGCCACCAGAAAGCTACCGGAAGAATGAGCTTCTTCCATCACAGTGGGCAGAGCATCAGAGTCTTGCACAATACCATTGGGACAATTGGGGCACTAGGAGGAAACCAAGAAAAACAGTCTGAGAGACTTGGGTAAGTGTGGGATCAAGATAAGGATTTCCAGTTAAAATGTTCAGGGGGTGAAGTTCCGCATGGGATGTTTCTTTTAGAAGATTCAGCAGTGAAACATTGTTCAATGTTGGCATTTAAATCACCATCATTAGGTTTCAGAGTTAATGGCACATAGAGATGGATGAGGCAATTCATACCTTTCACAGAGTGTATTGGCTCAGTCTTGTCTCCCTGCAGACTCAGGGCAGCAGTACTTTACTTCACATTCGGCAGGTTTAATTGCATGTCCCTTCTGGTCTGCCTGTAGATTTGTACTTCTCATTTTTATTGGTGGGGAGGGGAGAGTTTCTCTGGGATCCATCCCATTTTCCCCCTGACCTTAACAGCCCTGTGGTCAGGCTAACCAGGCTTTCAGGCTAAGGAAAGTTGGTAGCAGCGCTCCCTGTGCAGCTCCTGGAAGATCAGAAGAGGTTGCTGAGATGCACCATCAGTTAAATTTGCTGATAATTACTGAACACCTTTGAATTAAGAAGCAAATAATAGCAGGGAACATGGAAGGCGGCGTTTTTGCTGGTAGAGGCTCCGTCGCTCCTTTAACTCGGGCGTGCTCAAAACATCTCAAGTGCCGGGCTTCATTGACTGGGATTTATCACGTGCGCTGGATTTATTTACACCTGAACAAACAAAGCAGGCCCACTTGTAGCGTGGAATTTAGACCCACTTCGATTTTTCCATTGCCAGAGAGCCTGGCACATTCCTGGCAGAGAGCGAATGCAGAAATGCATGAAAGATCATAAGGAACACTGCGAAAAACAAATACCGGCGCCTCTAGTGACCTGGAACACGGACGGGTCTGAGTCCATGGTGCTTTCCTAGGTCATCTGGCTCTGGAACATGTGGCTTTTTGCCCTACAACAAATGGAGGAAGGAAACACTTGTGGTTATGGCACAAGCCTGAGCTGCAATAAAGGTCTGACACACAGGGGTGCTGGTAACAGACTGGTCTTTATTTGCTGGAACCAGTCACCTGACATAGACTATCCCTGTCACGTGCAGGAGGGCTGGTCTCATAGTCTTGGAGGCCAGGGGCCTGCCCCTCTGGAACTGTGTGAGTCCTTGGGGCCCAGCCCATTAATGGGTCACTCCCAGGAGACTGGTTCCAGGCTGGACACGGACTAGACCCCCCATGACACTCCCATTGCATCCTGATCACATGGCCACTTCGTGTTTCCAAAACGCAGTGGCCTGATGGGAGGCTAAGAAATGGATGCACGACCAGTGGAGCCTCTGCTTGTTGCTCCTGGTATAGTTCGTGGTCAGTGATTGCATGGGCTTGTGTTCCTTCTGCTGCTTGGGAGCCCGCCAGCAGCATTCTAGGTGTCCTCAAGCAGCAGTCTGAGCACAAATTAAGGATGCATTGTCTTAGCTGTGTTAACATGCCCATGAATCTCTGTAAAGCTTTCTTGCTCACAGTCTTTCCATTTGTCCAATTGCCTCCACTTTTCTTAAGTCCAGTCAAGCGCCTGTGTCACTAGCCATCCTGGGTAGGTAAATTCATTTAGCCCACCCGGGCACTGGTTCCTGTTCTGTTCAAGGTTCTTTCCCTCGGCACACTGAAATCAGTAGATCATCAACAATGAATCCCGCCCTATCTAGATCCTCGAAGTCTTGGGCCAGGATGCTTTGGCACACCCGAGGCGCTGCGGCAATCCCAAAGGGAAGTTGCCTAAACATATAGTTACCAAGGGGAGGCTGAGGGGGCAAAGTTCTGCACTTTCTGTATCAAATCAGACCTGCCCAAATCTTTGGCTTGCATCCAAATCTGAAAATACTCCTGCGTTTTGAAGTCAAGGCATCACCTCCCCATCTGTTCTTTTGCATTCAGGCCTACATTTGTTGCCCCTGTTCAAACCTTTTGGATCTATACAAATGCCTACCTTGGGATCATAGTGTGAACCCTGTCAGCTGGTGTCTGCTTTCTCTCAGTAACATCTAATTTTCCCATGCAGTCCAGTTCAGCTCTCAGCGCTAATGGGACTTCGCATGGCACATGAAGCTGGGGTTTGTGTCAGTATGGTGCATCCCAAGCCGTTGCCCAGCTCATCAAATTCTTTTGCATCCTGTTCAGTGGACAAGTTATGCACTGTTTGATCATCTGCATGTGCAGTTGTTCTTCAGCCTAAGCACATATGGGGCTTCCATTCCCACTATTTCAAACTCCGTTACATGGAATCTGTCTTTATATAGACAGTACAGTACGGTTTTCCCGTGTGAGTTCATTTTTGTGTCTGCTACACTAAGCAACCTTAATTTTCAGTGTTAACATTCTGTGTTGTGGTTACATGGCACTCCGCTTCGGTATCAGCTTTGAACTTCACTTTTTGTTCATGTGTTTCCAGGGTCACAAACCAATCAGGACCCAGGCTTTGTAAATGTATCAAACTCTGTGTCTACAGCATCCCCTGCAGCAGAGCTGTGGCCTCCCGCTGTTTGGCCATGAAAGGATTTTGTGTTAGTACCTCTTTGCAGACGAAGTCAGTGGGAGCATCAGGAACGCCACACCTCTGAGCATTGGAATAGGATATTAAAATAAGCTAGCTCGTTCAGCCTGCAATGTTGGTTGGGCCCCTCTGCCCATTGGCAACTGGTAGGCATGTTCCCGGTGACGAGCTGGAGCCGGTTCCCACCGGTTCCCGGTTGTTAAATTTAGAAGCCAGTGTAGAACCGGCTGTTAAAGGGGAGAGCCAGTGTGCCGTACAGGGGCAGCCTGGCTTCCCCAGGGAGCAATTTAAAGGGCCTGGGGCTCCCAGCTGGGGCTGGAACCCCAGGCCCTTTAAATTGCCACCAGAGCCCCACTGCTGGAGCCATGGGCTAGGGCTGCGGGGCTCTGGGGGCTATTTAAAAAGTCTGGGGCTCCCGCTGCTTCTACCGCCCCAGCCCTTTAAATAGCCGCCGGAGCCCTGCTACTACTCCAGGGCTCCGGCAGCTATTTAAAGGACCGGAGCGGTAGAAGCAGGGGAACCCTGACCCTTTAAATAGCCCACAGAGCCCTGGGGTAGCGGGGGGCTCTGGCGGCTATTGAAAGGGCCGGGGGAAGCAGCGGGGCTCCAGCGGCTATTTAAAGGGCCGGGGCAGTAGAAGCAGGGGAGCCCTGGCCTTTTAAATAGCCCCCCGGAGCCCCAGGCTGCTGCTGCTACCCCGGTGGCGGAGGGGAGGAGGAGAAACTTTCGGGTTCTGGGGGGGGAAGTCAGGGGCAGGACGTGGGTTGGGGTAGGATGGGTGGGGGGGTGGGGAGACAGGCACGTGGAGCTTGTACTCACTGCGTGGTTCCCTACCGGGTCTTCCGCGGCACTTCGGCGGCAGGTCCTTCACTTGCTCCCGGTGAAGGACCTGCCACTGAAAACCCGGAGCCAGTGGACCCGGTAGGGAACCGGTTCTTAGGATTTGGGGAGCTCATCACTGCATGTTCCACAATGTGGGGAGGTGGAGGGGGTGGAGCTGAACAAGGAAACTACAGTGTCCAGCCCCCACCTCATCACCAGATCAGATCCCTGCAGCCCTCCCACAGAGTCTAAGGGAGGTTGGGAGCATGCCAAGGTAGGAGCACAGCCCCCCAGCCCCCAGGTGCAGGCTCCTCTCTGGGGCGTGGAAGGAAGCATGGGGCTCTTGCAGTCAAATTCTGCCCTCGAGGGCACCACTTGCTGTGCTCCAGGGAATCAGCGGATGCACCTCTTGAGGATAAAACTAACCTCACCAAAAATTCTCACGCTTAAGGCAGCAGCAGTGTTCTCCAGTCATTATAGCACGACGGCTGCAGCATAGCCAGGGCTGTAGGAATTGTGCCTTTGGGAAGAAATGGTTAATAATCGATTCATTCCAGTTTCAGTTTGTCAGCCTTCTGCTTCGTTACCCTGACCCTGGGAGAAATGTGCACCCTGCTGAAATGTTACAGAGACGGGTATGCAGGCACAGAGCTCTGCTCAGGGCACGTGTGGCAGCTGACACCGGCCGTTGGAGGCAGGAAGACAGGGGGATCCCTAGAACGTTCCTGTTTACAATAAGATCGCTGGGTTGCACTTATTTTTATTGTGCATCTAATTCGTAGGAAGACGCTTCCCCCCGGGTGCTGAGCTCTGCTGCACAGGCTGCTGTTGGATTTTAAACGTCGTAACTTACATGCTGCTTAGAGAGGGGGAAACGGGCTCAGTGGACCGACATGAAGTAAATACCTTCCTTCAAGCTTTCCTTTTTGAGCGGTGCCTTTGCTGTATGACAGTAAAGGACTCGTAAAACAGGCTTGGGCCCAGCTAAAGGGCAGGCAGCGGCTGGGTAAATCTCTCTCACAGCTCTGCCAGCCCATCCCACGCCTGACCTGCGACACCCCCCTCTACTATTCCGGTCCTGGTCTTCCCCCCCACCACGCACACACTGCTCTGCCAGTGCACTTCAGTGGGTGTTCAGAGTGCTCAGCATTTTGTACAGGGCCTAGCACAGTGGGGCCTCAGACTGAAGGCTGAAAGGCTACCGGGGCGCCGCACCTCCGCTGCTCTAGCACTTCAGTATAGACAGTACCTACGCCCACAGGAGGGGCTCTTCTGTTGCTGTTGTTCATCCACCTCCCCAAGAGGTGGTAGCTAGGTTGACAGAAGAATCCTGCTATTGATCTAACGCTGGCTATGCAGGGGCTTAGGTTGGTTTAAGTACGTTTCTCAAGGGTGTGGATTTTTCACCCCCTTGAGTGACCTTGTGAGGGTTGATCTAATTTTCTAGTGTAGACCAGCCCTTGTTCTCCCTTAGGTGCTACCGCAATATAAATGTTAAATACTAGTAACTGAGCCAATTGAAATTGAGGGGAAGAGTCCCATTTAGTTGGCTCAGGCCCTTAAAGTCTGACAGAGGCTATTTCACAGTGTTGTAAAGCACATGGCATTGCCTCTAGGTGTGACAGAACTAGGAGATGAGCAACCCGAGTGTGAGCAGCCCTCCTATCTCCCCTTGGTGAAATCGGGTGGCATTTCCTA